CTGCCAAAGCAGGATCACACACACCAGATTCACAGTTTTTCTGGCCTAAATATTGTGCAGCGAGCACCCCGCTGTCACAGAATGACAACAAAAACTTCACACTGGTTTGGTTATATCTTGACGCTTTAGTTGTTGCAGTAAAATTAATCAGTGCTGAAGATGGTGACACCCCCTGGACACTCCTGACACACACAATTTACTTAGGTCCATTAAAAAAAAAAAAAAAATTGGAAGACAATTAAAGCTCCTCTCTCCTCTTGACATCACAGAAACCCCTCAGGGGCATTGGTTCCTGATAATCCCCCTCTCCGTATCTTCAGCCAAAAACACCGGGTTACCGAGGCAACAGCTGTGTGCATCGTCTCTTTTCTCTGTGTTTGTGACAAAAGTAGAGTCTGAAGAATCAGCAGTCGAGGTAGACCTGTGACTCAGATGGTCAACATGATGTGCAGATTACTGGCTGTTTATCTGTGTTGGTTAAATTTCATAGAGAGAGACTTTCTGAACAAGAATTCTAGAGAAAAAAAGAGTTCTAGAGAAAAATAACTTTTTTGGATTGTGTACAGGTTATGCAACCATGTGAGGGTTTAAGTCTCTTCCTGTGTGCCTGCAGGCTCGAAAACACCAGAAGTGCATCGCAACTCCCTCTGCACACATCACACTTGACTGCAATTTGTGCCACGCACCTGAATTAACCAATATGCACCTGCTGTCTTTGCCAATAACCTTCAAGCACTTTCTCAACTTATCTGGATCAGGAACAAGATCGGACATTGTCTGTTACTTGAAAGGCCTAAAATACCTCTTAATTCTCTGCCAGCTTCAATCAAAAGTCCAACATTTAATGCTCTGCTTCCTTTTTTTGTGCCAGTTGATCAAATTAATGCCTGACTGGGGCAATTCTTCACTGGACAAATGATGTTTTAAAATACAGCATTTATCTTTCTTCAGCACCGTCGCAGGTCTGAGAATGTGGATAATACAGTCTCAGACATTTTAAGAGCTTTTCGGGGGCCCGCAGACTCTTGCCTCTCCAATATAGCCAAGTCCTCCTGATATTGAGCTTTAAGTTCCTGGAAGATTCTGACATTTGAGAGATTTTGACTGTCAACCTTAAAGGTCACAGCAAACCCTGAAAGACATATGCAGTTAGAGAGAGTAGGTGATAATAAGCGATAGCAAGGTAGAATTATATTTTCTACAACACAAAGTAACATCGATTTTATCGCTTTGATAAAAAACCCCGTATGAATCAAAATAGAGTGGTTTTCTTCCAACATTACCCACAGTACATACATGCAGATTTCATGGTGGCTCAATGTGAAAAGCTTCATTTAAATGCCTGTTGGATCAGTGATTTCTTGCTTTTTTGTTTGTCAAACATGATTCTGTGATGCTGATTTCCTCCCCCCTTCCTTTCTACGTGCTGCAAGAAACGTGGAGTGCGAGAAACAAAAGGTGAACATCTGCAGTGACAATGAATTGCACAATGGAAGGTGTTGTCAAAGGATGAATGTTCATGAATTCATTAGGAGGCAAGTGTGCTAAATTGTGCAAAAGTAAAATGTCTCTTTCTTCCCCCACAAATATATAACTGCTTTTGACAAGCAAGATACAGCTAAATAGAAAAATATACTTTTAAATAACAAATCTGTCACAATGATTATCTACAAGATCGACTTGAACGGCTTAACTGTGCAACTGTGGCACAAGCTTCAACAGTCTTTCATCAAACAATAGTCTGTGATTTGCTCTGCACATAATGTACTTGTTGGAAAATATTGCATGCAGTTTTGGCAAGCAGTTTCAGTCCCTAAATTACTGGGATGTGCATTCACATGTGATCGCTCTTGTCAGGAGTCCTCTGTCTCTGCCAAAATACTGTAATACAAGTGTTTGTGGAATTTTTATGTAACAAAATTACAGATGTGGCAGAAAATTTGTGCAGGATTAAGATCAGTGACAATCACAGAAATGATCATGAATCAGTGGGTGTCTGGAGGTAACATTATTCCTATCTGAATGGAGCTTCAGTGATTAATCTGACTTCTCTTGCACATAAATGGGGAAATGATGGGAGCTCACCCGACACAGAATGAATGAGGTAAGTAACATTTTTGGAAGCAGTGAATACGTTGAGAAATTCACAGTAATGCAAAAGCACTCCACAACCTTAAGATATTCTATTTCTTCACTTCATCCTATGAATTATGTTTGCTTGTGCCGGATAAGTGCAGGGTGTGTATCCATTTCTGCCTGTCTGTATTAACCCAGCATGGCCTTCTCATTGTCCCGCTTTGTTCCACTTCTCATCGTCTTTGCCCCTGTGGAGCCAAGCTGTAAATTTCCCCTCAAAGCCTCTTGGTCATGACTGACATGATCATGGCGGAGGCTTCAAAATACTTAGAGGGCTCTCGTGATTACCTCCTGTCAGCTGTTATCATTATCATCATCAGACAGTAGCTTTATTCCACAGTCCCATCTCCACTTGAGCTGCGTGGTGGATCTCAGTACATATTGACATCTCCAAAACAAGCTTCTCTGTAGGGAAATGTATGTGTGTGTCTGGGCTTTTTAAACTGCAAACACGGAACAGTAGTGGAGGGGTAACCCTATTATTTAGCATACTGAATCGTTTCCAAAACATGTTGTAAACATTAACTTTAATTTATGGGCAGAATATTTGACTCCTGCAACAAAACAAAGGCAGTGCTTTCCCGTAACACTCTGGGAGACATTACCCTCATTTATTTTGTAATCACTGGAGATACTTTGCATTTTACCGCATCATGCCTTACTGTGCCTCCAGGAACAATATAGAAATGCTAATCCCAACAATCTGCCTCTTATCTTTGCTACACGTTTTATTTGACTGCATCTGCATGCAGAATCCAGAGAATAGCAATTACAAACAGATCCTCTAATCACAGCACTTTGAATGTAGCAGGTCCAGAAGTGCAACATATCCATCTGCAACTTTCAGAAAAGATTACACCTTCTCCCTCAAAATTTGCTCTCCCTGACACGTTCCCTGCTGGACAATAAATCCGAGTTTGCTCCCCTTCTACCACGCGGCCATTTACTGTGAAAAAGGGGCTCTGTGCTCTGTATGTCTCAACAGATGAAGAAACTGGCTGAGAAAAGTCATTTACTTGTGGTCACACTCATGAGTCCAGGGAGTCATCGCATTATGAGCCATGTAGCGTGCAGACGGAGGGGATGGCAGGCAGGGGGGGAAAGGCTGCGAGGAGCTACAGATGACTGTGCATTACATCAAATGAGAGGTGTGGTAAAAAACATGAATATGTGATGTTAAGGAGGAGCTCCTTAAAATGTGGCAGGCAAAAGGACAGAGCAGTCAGCGGAAAAATCATCCAGTGAAGGATGTCTTATAACCTTGATCTGGATGATGTCCAGTAATTAAGACCAGAGCTTGGCTTCTGACATAGGCAGGTTTAAAAGCATGAAATGATGAAGCTAAATACTAATGAAATATTAAATTTCTTCTTTATGTGAAGTATCTTCGTGTCGAGCCTTTTTAACCTGTGCACACATATCTTTCTACCTTTCCACTTTAAATATGCAGGACCGACAGGTTCGTTTGTTACATACATCTTGTCTGGCCGGGCGCCACATCTTGCACACAGATGCATCAAAAATAATCACTTTTAGGAGCTCTGTTAGAGACCTTCTCCAACATTACTCCAGGGTGGAAACCATTGGTGGGCCATTTGTTTGACTGTGGTTCTTCTTGGGCAGCAAACAGCCAACATAAGGGGGGGATGTGTATGTTCTTCTGCAAGGGGTGAGATGTTTCTGGAAGATTTGAATAATTTAAGCTGTTGGGTCTGATGTAATAGAAACATCATTCCTGTTGTACATTGCTCAGCATGTGGCTATGGACACAATACATACCATGCATGGTCACCACAGAGAGGAGGGGTGAGGGGACAGAGAGAGAGAGAGAGAGAGAGAGAGAGAGAGAGAGAGAAGAAGGGATTGTGTTTTTTAAATGAAGCAGGCTTATGTCTCCCTCATCGCTACAGCAAAACACACAACTACACTGACTTTAAATAATAAAGGGAAGCAAGTCCCTTAAGGGAAAAACGCGTGGCAACATGGAAATGTTAGTTTTTTTCCCCCTGTCGTCACCAAGTCTGTTTTTTTGCGTCAGTTAAATTGATCAGTTCGGAAAGATGTAACACAAACACGGCACCACTGGCATTCGTTTCACTGCCAGTGTTGTGGGGAGAGGGTGAGGAGGGTGAGGAGGAGGGGGCAGATAGCTGCCAGACCCTTCGCTGTACCGGGGGTTTTTATTCAAGGTTAAGTTAGCCTCTGCTCAACAGTGTTGTCACTGGTTGCGGTAGCTCGTTCCCAGCACGCTGGGTCAACGCACGAGACTGGAGTTTACAGTGCAGGTGCGGGATTTATTAGCAGAAACGTCACGCGCGCCGTTGTTTAATTGCCCATTAACGGAAAGTAACAATTAATGGCTCGAGCCGCGGTGTCGCATTGTGTTGCCGTTCGACTGTCCCGAAGAGTCAAGCTGGAGGAAGAAGAAAAAAACAATTTAACACCGCCATTGTCTGAACGCTGAATTCCCCACAAATAAAGAGAAAAAAACCCACACATTTGTTGCTTACAGCTGCCCGAACAACACTTTAAAAACACCCTGACCAAATGTTTTTTTATTATTTTTTTTTATCGTAGCGGGAAACAGTGTAGCATGCAGCGCCGCAACCCCACATCAGCATCATCCCCACTTGAACACGCGAGGGAGACCTGTTAAACCATCAATTATACTGCGGTAGACACACAAACAGCAGTTGTTGCATGTGAATGAAACATTGCCACTGAGCACATTTGCGACCACGTCCGGCTATTACCCTGACACCGACATGTGCCAAACCTAACAAATCACGTTACATGAAACACACCATAGGTAATGACTAGCATTTTAAAAAAAAAAAAACAACAACCAACAAGAATAATCTCACCAGCAGCTGTACGGGTTGTGCTCCTGCTGTTTCTTCTCTCTCCCGACTGGGTTTCCTTGGAGTTAATGAGGTTCTGACGTTTGGTCCGACTGATGTCTCCCTCAACTGTTAGTGTCCACTGGGTTTGGAATTCTTTTTATTTATTTATTTCTTTTTTCCAGCGGTGAAATAATAGGGAAATCGGCGTCCTCTCGCAAAGCTCTGCCCTCTTCAAACTAACCTTCCCGCCCCCTCCTTCTACCCATCTCAGATTGGTGCTGGCCAGGAGGGGCAAACCCTGAACTGGAGGGCTGCTTTAGCGGCGGCTGTCTGTCACGCGGATCAATGCCCACATGGACATGCGGGTGGACGTTTGCGGGAAGGCTCACTGTTAACCGACCAGCTTGTCAGTGATGCTCTCGGCAGCTGGAAGGGACTCTTTTTTTGTGTGTGTTTTTTTTCTTCTTCTTTTCCTCCCCTCCTCGTGCGTTATTGCACAACAACCTCCCAGGCGAGGGAAAGCAGTGAGTGGGCCCCCTCATTCAGCGGGCTCCGGCGCTCGGAGCGGTACTGACGCAGGTGCCCAAGGTCCAACCGCGGCTGACAGCGATGCCAAAGCCTTTGAGCTGCTGCTGACAGTGATATAGCAATCTTCATCTGAGTCATTGCAGTAGTAGGAACAGGGGAGGGGGGCAGATCAGTAACACTCTGTGACCTTGGGGGTGGTGTGGTCTGATCGGTGAGAGGAGCTGGAACAAAATCTGGCCATGGGGGAGAGACAAATGAGACGTTTTCACCTTATTCTCAAAGATGTGCTCAAGGTGCCCTTGTGCAAGGCATGCAATGCCACCTCTAACCCTTGCTCATGCAGCAGCAAATAGTACAAGACTGCACTTGTACTGTGCCAAATCCCAGGTGTGTTTGTGTGAATGTTTGTGCCAGCCAGCAGTCTCTGACCTGATTTTGTTCTGTGCCACAGGATCGAATACATTGCAACTGGCAAAAAATAGAAAAAAACTGACACGATTGACCTGTCAGTCAGCTCTGAGCTTGCATTTGAATAAATGTTACAGCTCTGTGGATCTGATAATTGCTGCAGTCAATTGGCACCATGAATATCTTTTGGATTTATTTTAAAGGCTAATTCTAACTTCTTTTCTTTTCTATCCATGCACCCCGATATATACCCTGCTGTGTTTTCTACATGTTTTTACTTTGTTGTCGGATTGAAAAAATGTTGCTTTCATGTATTTCTTCAGTCAAATAAACAGAAAACAGAGATTTCCTCTTACAACGTAAAGTGAAATGGCACTTTAATGCTGCATGCTTCATTTTGTGCTTCACAATTTACAATAGTTGTCATGTTCTGTCAAATCCCTCATCTCTGATAAACAACATTACAATATTACTCTTTACAATGGTGTTCAGACTGCCCTTAAATATACATTATTACTGCTAACAGTAATATCTACAGTTGGCGCTCTTGATGCTCATGCACTCAGGCTGCAGTAGCGAGTGGTAAACTAAATGAATACTTAACATTCATGAGTAATAAATGAGAATTTTTTGCAGACAAAGCCCTCTGAGATAGGTTATCATTTTAGCTCAGATGATGCCCGAACCTTCGGGAGACCTTTTAACTGTAAAGACCTTAGACCACGACGGACCTCCCTTTTGAAAATGAAATGCTCAGTACTCTCTATATTTCTACCAATAAAAAGAGATTGTGCTTTCTGTCACATTTTATTCATCTTGGATACATCTGTGCCAATAACAAAGAGCTGTGACTCTTTCCCCACCTATTGCCTGGCTTTTCTGAAAGGGAAACAGGAACACAGGATTTCTCATGTGAGGTCCACCCCAAGGTTTCTTAGATCCATAATTAAGTTGCTGTGGAAGGGTTTCCCCTCGTTGTTGCTAAGGGTCTAAGGTTGGGGTGCCATTTCCATTTATCATTTTCATTTATTTTTTCATTGTGAAGTCCTTTGAGACTGTAATTGTAATTAGAGGCTGTAATAAACTTGATTTGCTGTGGGCCCCTGCGGGCTGGGAGAGGGAGAGGTGCCGGCCAGTTCTGCCAAGGAGGATGTGAGCCACAAATAGAGACATAGTATGGGTGTTTGACAGTAGGTCCTGTGTGCCTATTTAAGGGTGAAATTCATCCATGCACCCCGAAGCTAAAGGGTTCCCTTCCTATATCACCAATACCACCTGCTGTGTAAGCTTATTTCTTTATTCTCTGTCCTTTGTTTTTGTGTGTGACCTCCCATGGTGTAAAGGATCTACTAGGACTTCTTATAAAGAAATTGTGACCAGTTGAAAGCATGACATTTAACACCTATTACACATTTTATTCACTTGTATATCTTCTTTAATATATGTGGCTAAGCCCAGTGTGCCATTACCACTCTTTCTGCAGTTACCAAGGGCCTTATAGTTTGCTTCCTTTCAATAATTCCTTGAGCTGGCATAATCATGCCCTCTGGCTAATAATTATAAACTCTGGAAAGTGACACTGAGATATGTGTATGTCTCGGCTGCTTTTGTTAATTAGTCCAAGCCTGTGGACAAAGATGTATTGGCTTTTGGAAAAACTGTACGCAGGGAAAAATGTGATTTGTTTAAAACTGGACTTGACAAATATTGTACTGTAGAAACTGTACAACATAAGGGAAAGATTTATTGGGTAGATATTTGATAAGTGCATTTTTTGATAATTATAGCTTTACAAATTTATTTGGTAGTCATCAGCTCATAAATCTGACCATCACTGCAATTCCAGGTCCAAACACTGTAATCCCTGTAGAGCCTAAATTGTTCGAGAAGCAGACTTGAGACTCAAGGATTGTCAACGCCTGGTCAAGTTCAGTTTGGACTTGAATGAGAAATTCTTATCACTCGATAACAACTACTTCTGGGGGTCACTTTGAGTGAAACACTTAGGCCTCGAGAGGTGCTGCTGTGCTGCCCAAACGGTTGCTCCCGGTGGCTCCGAGCTGTGAAAATGTGTATCCGAATGTCATGTTGGCAAGCAATCTCATTGTTAGATACCAACCTTCTTGTTTTCTTCTTTTCTCTGCGCCTAATGAGTGTGACCTTTTCGACTTTTTTTTTTTGTATTCCTGAAAATGAGGCTGCTGTTTTTCCTACATTCATTATCGTATATTGAAAAGGGGGAGCTCTGGCTGTTGTGTATGTGCCCAGGTCTGAACCACAGGTGCAAGGGTTGTCAGGGCTGATAAATAAATGCAAGATTTGAAGACTTGATGCATTTTCTGTTATGAAGACGGAGCAGCGAGTTAGATTCTTACAGATGGGCGCATTATGTCGTCACATGAGATAAATCAGTGATTGACTACCCACTGTAGAGCCGCCTTGTGGAAGCCCCAAATAGCTGCTTAAATGAATGAACAATCAATCCCATCACTACGCGTAAAACAATGTTGATGATGTGTAAAATGTGACAATGTATATATTTACAGACAAGTTGAGAAGAACACAAGTTATGCGTGCCACATCAGCTCGCCATCAGCTGATCCCAATTAGCTAATTACTGTGAGCATTTAACGCCAGGCAGTCATTGAAGCTGTCAGCTCTTCATTTAAGCCATCAGCTCTTCTGTCATTCACTGCTCATTGTGTGGATTCACCACCCCAGCCTCTTCCTGTTCTGGTTCCCTCGTAATCAGGTACACTCGCAGTGGTATGTTTCTGCAGGCCTGTCCCTCGTAATGATGTGCATTCCACATCTCAGCGTTTTGTATTTGCAGGTCAGTTCACCACCGGGGCGATCACATCATGAGCTGTGTAGATTTTGACAGGGAGAACCGCCAAGTGTCTGTGTTGCCAAATACCAAGTGCGTAAACATTTTTACAATAATAGTTTTCACTTCATGACAGGAATGTTTCTGATTTAAATGTGCACAATTCACTACGGAGCCCAACTTTGCATTTAAATGTTGTATATTGCTTTAGGAGGAAGTGCTGTGATCGTCACATAAAAATCAAGCAACACAAATCATTGTCAACCGTATAATTAATCACCAAATGCAATGGGACTCAGCTCATAAACACTGTCATGGTCCAAAACAGAAACTTGATGCTAATTGCTTTTGAAAAATATTGTTGCTTGTTAACAAGTCCTCCCTCCATCCATCAATCTATCCTCTCTCTGTAACGGTTGTACTGTCTCCCAGAGTCTTCACTCTTGGACTAAACGTGGTGACATAATGACCCAAGGTCATTCAGTTCACCATCAGGAGTAAAAGAAGTAGCCTGTTAAGTAATAAAGTACGTCCATCCACAATTCCAACCACCAGCCACTGACTTTTCACAGCACTATAAGACTGTTGCGCTACTTCCTGTCAGGCACAGATTATATCACCCAGCTGCCATGTAAATCTAATTTATCTGGGAGTTTTTTGTACATATTTATTTATTTTTTCATTTAGATTTCATTTAATTTGTAATTTTGGAGGGATGCTTCTTAAACTTATAAGATGATGACTTCCACATGGTCTCATGCTGCTCAAATAAAATCCCCTCAAAGACTCAGCAGCAATCTGAATTCAGACCTTTTGAGCTCAAAATAATCCCAGATGGGACTCTGGCATTTCACACACAAGATGTGCAGCCGCATCGAGGACAAGAGGTGCTCATGGCCAAACTCGATGCTCTGCAGCAGTGCTTCTCAGTTCTGGTTCTTGGCACTCGGGTATTGCTGGTTTTCTATACCATCACCTCATTAATTAAAGCTCATTGTATTCTGCTGCTTAATGAGTCCTTGATTAGATGACTAAAATTAAGGCCAAGAACGCATTTAAACTGAAAGTCCTTTTAACAGTCGTCCCTAGATGTATATATACAGCAGGCCTTGTGAGACTAGATGAGTGCTGCATGTCCCAGAAGTGCTATAGCCTATCTAGCTGTTGAGCACAGAGCACAAGTTTACATTTGTTCTGAAAGCTAGTTCTCTGGAGATTGCACAGGTTTGTGCTTCTGGATCAGACTGACTTAAGTTCCCTGTTGTGCATTTGTGCTGTTTATTTCACAAAGTACAGCTTTTCTAACTTGGCAAAATACTGCAATACACTCTATATACTGTATGTATATGCATGAATGTGCATATTTTACAAGGTAGTCATGCACTAATACAAGCAGTTATTCACCAACTATACTCTATACTCTATACTATACAAGAGTATACTTGGTGAAACTGGAATTGTTCTGAATAAGAATACATAGAGATGAGTACTATGCTGTTGGCAAGTTGTAATGTCATACAGACATACTGTATTGCTTAATATAGCCATTACATTCAGAAGCTGTACTGTATCTATATCTATATCTTCTCTCAAATGTTATTATGGTAACACACATTACTAACACACAGAAGCTGTGTCACTCCAACCATTTTACAGTTGAACAGTATCATTAGGAGTAAAATAAAACAAAATAATAACGAACAATAAAACTAAATGCAGGTTTTTATTTGGTAAGCAATAATTAAAGAAAAACTACTCAAGAGCAGGCATAAAGATTGTGTTTCCTGTTTTGTCTTCACATCTAACAGAATACC